AGAACCACCTCTCAGGTGTAAGAGAGCGCTGGATGAGCTTAGGCTCTACTCCTAAATATCAGAGCTTCTCAGCTTATAGCAGCCTGAGTAGGAGATGTGTGGGTGTGGCCAACTCCTGCTTGTGTTCTTAACTTGACAGAGGCCTGAAACGGCTCATTTTGGAAGGTACTGAAAATGTCCAACATAAAACTGTTGAAATTGCCTCATGTGAGAGGGATTTAGTGTAATGAACTTCATAAACATGTTTTATATTAACTACGGAAATATTAGAACTTAAGAAAAAGTTGTGACATGGCTCCTTTAAACATCTAGACTAATTTTTCCTGATCTGCTGTAATTTTGTCCACTCAATGGTTCAAGAAGCACAGATAAATATTTTTTTTTATCAATTTTTAAATTAAAATTGAATTTTATGCACAGTTTGTTGCATTAAACAGTTTCTGGTTGAAGCTATAAATACTCCACGCAGCTTATTACTGGCAGGAAGTCATATGTTATTAACTGGTCCCAGCTCCGGTGTGGGGAGCTTTCAGATCTGTGTAAATTTGTAATATTTTATTATAACTTCTATTGAATCCATAGAAAATGATCTACTTTGGAAAAGAGTGAAATGATTCCCTTACATCAGCGTTCACGATGTTTGCTCTGTTTTCATAGTCCAACAATTTCTATCATTTTCATATTTACAGCCAAATGTAACCCTGCAGTAATTTACCTTTTAGCCCACCTTTTTATAATTCATATAGTGCTTTATAAATGGGTAAAAATATATTTTTGTAAAGAAAGAAGTAAAAGCCTTTTCCTTCAAGCTGAACTCCACTTCGCACACTGATGAAGAGAATACGGAGCGCGTGCGCGCGCGTGCGCACGTGTGTGTGTGTGTGTGTGTGTGTGTGTGTGTGTGTACCTGAAAAGGTCCTTGTAAAGTGAACCTGTGATCCATTAATAATTTATGGTCACCAAGCTTTGTCTGACTCTCCGTCTGCTTCAGGAGGACCTCACAAGTTTGGCATGGCTCCTTGAGAGTCTGTTCCTGCTTCTGCATGCAGGTGTTCCCAACAGAAAGTCAGCCTTTCTACAGCTGCTTCCTGGAAAATCTGTCAGTATGTGAGAAGAAAAAGAGGAAAATACTTGGAGATTTTGGAAGTTTGGTTAAATTATTATTAAACAAAACATTGAAGGAAAAACAATGAATTCAACACTGACATAAAAAATGATTGAAGCAGGTTGATGAAACTGAATTAGATGTTTTATTTTAATATTACACCATAGGTGAAAATGTTGCAGACACTGTGAACAATGTTCCATTATTTTGGTTGGAAAAATAACTCTTACGTAAAAAGCAAACATGTTCAGTAACATTTGTTTTGTAGATTTATGAATTTAGTTTAGCACATTTATCTTTGTGGTTAATCTTGCTCAGCCTTCAAATCGAAGGTCTGAATGTGCAAAGATAACGCAGCTCCTGGTTTTGTTTTTTAATGAATCTTTGATTTTATGCTCAGGATTTGTCTGTTGGTCTGGTTTTTGAGGTTTTCTACAGTGACAGATATGAACATAAAGTAAACAAAATATCAGGTGGAGCTCACATATTTCGTGTTACATCCCTGATTATTTCAATTTTTACACCTCCGTCTACTTAAAAGAATTTCTTTAGAAAACAAGTTCATTTTTATTATGACATGTTGAACACAAGATCAAAAGGTTGGTGGGGATTTCTTACCTTGATGCTGTATACATTTATTAAAACAAATCTTATTAAGCTGTCAGTAAACAAACTCTTGGTCTCTTTCACATCAATACAGATAGAATATTTTAGCTCCGACTGTCAAAAACCCACATTATGTGGTTGAAGTCTTGTCCACGCTTTCAGGGTGTTTTACTCTAAACGCTGAGATCTTCTCAGATCAGAGTTAAAATGAGCGGTGGCTGGAGCAGCGGTCTCACTACGGGCAGTCTGACGAGCAGACTCACAGATCAGAAATAACTTTTAGTCAACAATAAAAACCATCAGCCTGCTTGTAAAAGCTGATTATCAGGGTTCTATGCTGCAGTTTTACATCAGATGATTTCAGTTTTATGTTCCATGTTCAGGTTGTGTGCCAGTCTTTTTGTTTTTTGTTTTACAAAATGACAAGAAAGAGGAATTGTTTTTGCAGATTTAAATTTTGTTTTGTTCTCCTCCATCCTTCGTGGATGTCTGGTTGCTAATTTCTATTCTGCAAAGAATTTTCATTGACGCTAATTAGATCCTGTGACAATGAGGCGAGGTTTATGTAAACAAAGTTTCTGTTTGCTCAGAATGTATGTTTTATGACATGGTTGACGAGGTTTCCTCAATACTTTCAATAACTACTTTCTAACTATTTTTGTGTACAAATGAAAATCATATTTACAAAAACGTAATGCTCATATTTTTTCTGTGTCTGAATTTATAAAAAGTGGCCCTGGAGTGAACGGATGAACGTGGATTAACGTAAATCAGGCCATCACTTTTGTAGGATTGGTTTTTTACATTTTACCAAACTTTGAATGTCATTGGCACCTCTGCAGAACTTCAATCTCTATGCTAACTCACTGATCTCTCTCTCTCTCTCACACACACACACACACACACACACACACACACACACACACACACACACACACACACACACACACACACACACACACACACACACACACACACACACACACACACACACACACACACACACACACACACACTTTCTAACTTTCTTTCTAAATGGTTTTTGCTGGCAAATAGACAAGAAATAGCAGAGATGCTTTCAAGCAGACGAATAAGTATGCCGACCCCACATTGATTTGTAGAGAATACAAATCAGTCCTTCAAAGTGTGTGGAGTTTAAAAAGAATCAGTGCCATTAAAACAAATTTTCCATCTCCTGTGAATTAGAAAGTCCATCCATCTATCCATCCATTTTCAGCCGCTTATCTGGAATCGGGTCGTGGGGCAGCAGCTTAAGCAGGGAGGCCGATGCTTCCCTCTCCACAGCCACTTGGGCCAACTCCTCCAGGAGAATCCCAAGGCGTTCCCTGGCCAGTTGTGAGACGTATCCTCCAGCGTATCCTGGGTCTCCCTTTAGGACTCCTCACTGTTGGACGTGCCTGGAAAACCTCACCAGGGAGGCGACCAGGAGGCATCTGAACTAGTTGCCCAAGTGAATAGAAAGTCAACAAATGAATGCAAATTCTCTAAATAAGGACAGTGTATCAGTGTGGGGCTTAAACAAAACTACTTAGATTGAACTACTGAAGGTAGGTACACAAGGAAACTGAAAATGGATTTGTGTTATAAGTGAAATCTTAATCTGTGAAATAATGTGACGTAAATCTTTGATGTGCTCAGAGCTGTGAATAGTTCCCGAGCGCAGCCACAGCTGCAGCTCACCGCTCCCCACAGAGTTGGGTCACATGCAGAGATGTAATTCCACCAGTGTTTGATGACTAATGGGACTTTTTGTGTGTGCTTATCTTCCTTCATGAATAAAGTTTTCTTCAAAAAGTGTTCAATAATAATAATAATAACAATAACAACAACAATAATAATAAAACAGAAGTACATCTAAGATGTGTTTGGATGTTAACAAAACATCTAAATTCATTTATCACTGTGTACCAATAGTGTTAAAACTAGTTATGCAAGAAAAAAAGGTTTTTACAGTTTTAAAGCTGTATTACAGATTTGTCATAATGCAATTGTTTGACAGAAATAATGAACTGTGATCTATTATAAATATAGGAGAGAATGAAGTTGCTGAGATAATGTTGCATCATGTAAGCTTTATGATAATAAATGAAGTTTAAAAAACTAAAAAATAAACCCCTCTTGCCACCACAAAGTATTTTTCTTGATCCGCCCCTGCTTTCAGGAACCGTCAGGTTTACTTGCTGCATCACGCGGACGCTCCCTCTCACCCTGCGTGTGCATTATTAGAATCAGAGTTAAGCTATCACAACCAACAGTTTGGAAAAATTTGAAACAGCCTCCCAGCTACTAATCTTAATCCCAATTCTGGAAAAATCCTCTTCCTGCTGTTGCCAGAGGCGAAGACAAGCAGCTCAGTTTACCACTGCCAGCAGCTCTGCTTAACACAGAGGACCTCCTTTTTTATTGCAAAGTGCAGAGCCGACTGTTTTTGGTCGGCCCATTTCTGAGACCAGAGCAGAATCCTCACTGCTGTTGATGTTAAAACTCCAGGATCTCTAAGGGAGGACGCGTCTATTTTCTTTTTTTGTTTACCTTTTACACCTCCAAAGGAAACAATGTCAGATTACAAAGTAACACAATGTCAACAATAGGATTACAATATGCCATTAGAAAATGTGTTGATAAGGGAAAGGTTGATAGAATTTGTTCTTTATTCCTGTGTCTCCATAAAAAAAGAAGTTATTTTAAATTGTTTAACTTGATTGTGCAAAAACAGCACAAAAAAATCAAGATGAGGATTCAAAGATGGTTTTGTTGTTTCCGAAGTATTTATAGCAGCAGCTTTATCCTGTTGCTTCATTTGCTCACCTTCTGTGCAGCCTTTGATAATTATTACATGGTTCAAAAATCTCTTTTCTCCTAATTGAACCCAAGATTGTATGAAGACAGTAATGAAGAATTAGAAAAATCTTAAATGAGAAAATCAAAGTCTCAAGCAAAGTTTATGAGCACTTGTAAACTTTTAAACAAATAGCAGGAAAATGAAAAAATCAGAAGCGTTTTTCTCCCTAACTCCTCCAGTAAACATCAACCATATTCACAGAGTTTCTCTAGGAGTTAGAGAAACATAACCAAAGACGGCAGCAAAGGTTTTCTCTTTCGTCACTCTGTAACACATTTTTTCTTGAGTCTGAACACAAAGTTAATCATTTCAGAGCTGGGTTATAAATGTGCTGCACCACTGAGGATGAAATAGGAATACTCCTCACATGACAACTGACTTCAGCGATGCCACAACATTTATCTTTCCTGGTAAGTGATGTGAAAAATGGTCCTGTTTGTTCTGCTGCAGCTGAAAGAAAAGTATGAGTGCTACTCTGTGCAGATGGCAGAAACAGTAAGAAATCAAAGGTTTTTAATGCTGTGGTGGAAAAGTCCTATTTTATACACTCAGTAATCCATTGTTGGATGTCTGCACCACAGCTGGACTTCCCCGTTTTGATTGCGGCCATTTTTATCTGCGGTATTGGAGGATCGTTTCAGTATGGGTTCTGCGTTTCTGTGATGACATCTCCCTCTGCTGTAAGATCAGCAGCTTCAGGAAACAAACATAGTTTGAAAATAGAAGTGAAAAACTACATTTATTTGTTTGTTTTTGCAGTTTATAAAGGATCTGGTGAATAAAACCTGTGTGCACAGGTACAACAGGTCCTTGGAGACGTGGCAGGTCTCCCTCATCTGGTCTTTCACCATGTCCATTTTCTGTATCGGGGGGTTAATCGGGTCGCTCGCAGCTGGTCCTCTCGCCTCAAAGTTTGGCAGGTTGGTGGCGATACAGAGCTGTGGATAAACAACTTGCTCTATTTCTTGTGTTTTTTGACTGAAATGTTTCTGATCAGCAAATGGATATCAATATTAGACAAATGTTAACCAAATAAAGATCAACTATGAGTCTCACATCACCATGGGGGAAATTAGTCCCATTGTGCTTTGTAGAAGAGCTTTAATACAGCCACAATGGAGGGTTTCCCAGCACAAATGTCCTGTTTAAGGTCAAAGGTCAGATATTCTCCTTCAGTACTCATGGTTCCATCAGTTAGTCATCCAGAAGTGGCAAAGCGGCCAAAGACCATCACACTACCACCACCATGTTTGATTGTTGGTATGATGTTTTTCTTAAATGTGGCTTTAGTTTTCTTCCCAGACATAATGGGACACACACTTTCTAGAAAGATGCTTTAAGTAAATCATGGTTGTGCTGGAACTGCTGGATTTGACTGTGGCATTTGATACCATTGACCATGAGATCGTGATTAAACGCTTGGTAAAAGGGGTGGGCATTAGAAGGCCAGCCACCTGGTCTTACCGCTCTGATGGAAGTTTCTGTGTGAGAATGGGAGATGTGGCATCTGGAGATGCTGTCCTAAAATGTGGCGTGCCTCAAGGTTCTGTTCTTGGACCACTTTCATTTTCTTTTTACTTGCTGCACTTTTGCATGATCTTCTGAAAGCATAAGTTTAGCTTTCACCGGTGCAGATGTTTGTCAGGTGTAAGCTCCATATATGTCAAAGCAACTACTATTCAGCCATTGATAGACTTAATATCAGAGGTTAAAGCTTGGTTAGTTTTAACTTTCTGAGTTTGAATGACAGTAAAACTGAAGATATCATCTCCCCATCGAGTGCTTGCCGTGGTAACGCCCTGTCCCAGGGTTGGAGTCGTTGAATCCATTACGGAAGGGTGCCGTTACGAACCTCGGAGTAAAGATGAATGACGGTCTCTAGGTTAGCATGACTGTTGGCTCATGTTTTTGTCATCTCTGCTGTATTTCTAAGATTAGGGCTTTGTTGTCAAAGGCCCACTTTGGTTTTACATGCATTTGTCACTACACGCTTGGATTATTTGAATTCTTTTGTTGGAGTGAGTTAGCCATTGACAGACTACAGTTAGCTCAGAAATCTGCAACCAGGTTGTTGACTTGTACTGATAGGAGGGACCATATCACCCCAGTGTTGGTAATGGTTATTTACAGGATAGAGTTTAGGGTCCTTGTTTTTCTGTTCAAGCATTACATGGAGGGGCGCCTTCATACCTGTCAGAGCTAATTCACCAGTACGAAATTTGCTCTGCGGTGTTGCATCTCTTGGTCGTTTCACCAGCATATAAGAAATTGCGCGATGATCGGGCATTTGGTGTTGTTGGTCCAAAACTCTGGAACGCATTGCCGTTGCCAGTGGGATTGGGCCCTGCCATTGAGTAGACTCAAAGCTATGGATTATGGATTTTATTTAGATGTTTTATAATAGTGTTGTGAGCCATTTTGGTTTTGGCTAATTGATACTGTACATCACTACTTGACTGCTTGTTTTATTATTTCTATTTGTATGTTTTGGGTACTGTTCAGCCCTTTGGTGTATTGGATCAGCATGCTAGTCCAGCATCCATTCACCAGCATCCCATGCTGGACCAGCTAAACCAGCACCAAGATGCAGCTGGTAATCAGCTACCTGGTCTATGCTGGGTTTTTTTCAGCAGGCACTCTATTTTTGCACATTGAACCATGCTGCTTTAAATAACTATTTCTCTTAGTAAAAGAAATCATTATTTGAAAGCTGATTTTTTTACACAGATAATTTTTGTCTCATATTGAAATTTGCTTGGTAATCTGAAACATTGAAAGTAAGAACAGCAAAAAAAGGCCCTATTTTTTCTAACATAACATTAATGAAAAGTGAAAAAGGTTTCTGTTTCCTTGTTCCACAGAAAGCGATGCCTCTTATTTAATAACTTTGTGGCCATAGTTGGAGCCATTTTGATGGTTTTGAGCCAAGCTGCCATGTCTTTTGAGATGATAATGGTGGCAAGGTTTCTTTACGGTGCTAATGCAGGTATTTTTCTTACATTATTGATGTTTGTAGCTGTTTAAAAATGTCCCTGTACTTATTTTTGTTTACTAATTAAAGTTTAATTCTCTCTTGTACCTCTGCAGGAGTGGGTCTGTCAGCACACGCTATGTATCTCAATGAATGCGCTCCAAAGAAGCTGAGGGTGATGGTGGGTGTTACCGTGGCAACCTTTTTAGCTTTGGGCAAGTTCTGTGGTCAGCTGCTGGGTATCAGGTGATTTCACCATCATCAGGTTTTGAACAGACAAACATTTTAAAATCCCAAAACTGAAAAACACATATTTCTGCTTTCATGCCCACAATCAGAACAAAACTTGTTAAGCTCGGGTGACATCTGCCTCACACATTGACCATGCTTAATATTTAATGTCTTCTAGATGGGTACAAGCTGTTTATTTGGATGTATATTGGATAATAACACAGATTAATTTGAGTAATTGAAAAATCAAACATGCATCCTGTTAAAGTTGGCCTCTGAGACACAAAGACTGAACAAACCCCTCAGGTTTTTGCTTCACCAGATTTACCTCAGAAACTCTCCAATCAAAGAAAACTCTCATCATGTGTTCGCTGAGGGAAATAAGAGGCAGCAGTAATTAGAATTGTTCACTGGCCTCTTTTTGGTGAGCTGAGTGAGTCAAATGATCCAGATCCCAGAAAAGAACCATAATTCTCACCAGCAGCAGTCTGGGTTAATAGGTAAACCACAACTAAAACGGAACCATCTAAGAATGTGAAATTACTAAACTCAAGTAGGAACCCAACAAGATGAGAAAAAGAGAAAACATCGAGGGAGACTAACAGGAGGCAGGTGTGGTGATTTGTTAATGAGGTAAACAGAAGAAAGGACTGTTTATGACTCCATTTAGAAAGTTCTGCTCATTAATATTTTTAGGACAACCAGCATGCACATCAGCAGAAGTGGAAAGCAGCCCTGGTTAATGTTACTAATTGAAGACAATGAGGCTATTTTTATGCTGCAAGTCTTCATGCTCCATTCCAGTTTTTTCAATAAATCAGATTTTTTGTGTGGTTGTTCAAGTTATGACTGAAATGCGATAGCAAGTCATGCTCCAGTCCAAACTTTTCACGGCCCCTAAGTGGCCCTTGTGCACAGAAGAAGACAAGAAGTCATACACAAGTCTCTGTCAGCGCCTCTCTTTAGGAACACCAAGACACGAGACTCACCTTTGCTGAGTCAGTGACACAGGAGACAGATTAAAATATGATGCGATCGTTCAGACTGAAGTTGCTTTCAAAAACATCAGATGCATATCAGATTCAGTACCATATATGAAAGTGACCTGGATCGGATTTGATAAAATCAGATTTGTGCTGCTCAGACTGTGACAATAAAAATCTGCCGTGTGTCACGTGTGGAGAAAAAGTCAGATTTAATGTCTTTGGTGTGTTCTTGCTGTGTTGAAATTCTAATTCCATCTTTTAGTTCTTTTTAAAACACTAAAAGGTTTTATTTACCTGCGACGTTTCGTTTGCGGCTGCAAACTTCGTCAGGCTGACGCTGATGCTCAGATTTAATGTGTTTTGTGAGAACTTAGCCTAAGTCTGCCATGGAAATAGACCAATCAGAAACCAGAATGATGAAAAACAAACAAGAAGAAGGTTTTAGCAAACCCACAACTGAACACAAAGCAAAAAGTGACCCAGAAACTTAACCAAAAATTAAAAAAATATATTTTATCTCAAATGACAAAAGTAATAATCTGTGTTAAAGTTCACATCTGCTGTTGGGATTAAACAACCTTGGACTTCAGGATGTCCCTGAAATGAAAAACACCACATGACACGGAGAGAGGAGAACATATTTTGTGTGCTAACTTTCACTTTTTGTAATGAGAACTTAGTTTTCCATAGCTTCTAAAACCTGAGAATATATACACATTTCTTCTGAGTCACACAATTCCAGACGCTTTTCTACTTGGTTCTCTCTAATTTTATTGTATTTACTTATTAAAACAAAATGTATCAACATTTATTTGCAAGGTAAAGTCACCCCAAAGCAGTTTAAGTCCTGAAAGCAGAGATGTTGACCAGGATGGGAGCTGGTTTCCACTGGAGACAGGCCTGATAACTAAACGTTCTGACTCCACAGTTTACTGAACAACTGCGTGTCTGGGTTTTTGATTTTCTGATGTTGTGATGAAGACATCATTTCTGGCTGCATCAGGACTCCTCAGGCCTTTGCTCAACTTTCTAAACTGATCTCCAAATCTAAATTGACAGAGAGCTTCTTGGCACAGAGAGGAACTGGCCCTGGCTGCTCGGTGTCAACGGCTTCACTGCGGTGCTCCAACTCCTCACTCTGCCCTTGCTGCCCGAGTCGCCGAGATTCCTGCTGCTGGAAACAGGAGACTTCCGGGCCTCTGAGCAAGGTATCAGAAAGCAATCGGTGAACTGAGTTGAGTCTTTTCTGCAAATGAACGGAACTTTCCCATGTTCCCTCATTCTTAAACAGCGTTTAAGAAGTTGTGGGGCCAAGTGGACTACATGAAGGAGGTGGAGGAGATGCTGAAGGAGAAAGCAGATCTGCTGAGCATCCGCAGCCACTCGGTTTTAGAGCTCATTCAGAACCAAACGCTTCGCTGGCAGCTCTTCACCATCATTGCTGTCTTCGCTGCTCTGCAGCTCTGTGGCATCAATGCTGTGAGTTGTGTTTGACACCCTGATCTTTACAGGGTCTAAACATCTGAATGATCACTACCTCCCTGAATCAGATCATAATAATTATATATTTCTCTCCAGGTGTACTTTTATTCGTTTGATGTGCTTCGTGCTGCAGGAATCCCAGATCACAAGCTAGCTTATGCTGCTTTGGGAACAGGCTTGTGTGAAGTTTCTACCTCTGTAGCCAGTGTAAGTCTGGTTTTAAGCCTCAAATCAGCAAACTGGTCCCAAGTTTGTCTTCTTTTAAATACATGGGGGGAGATACTTACTTTTTCCGAGTTTCCTTAACATTAGTATGACAAATGTTTCATTGTGTGATGATGGTGCCCTCGTTTGGTAGTTTAACTCCTGCTGAACATCACTGATGCAGTTTAAAATGCTGTTGCAGTTCACGATTATAGAGGGAATGGGCAGAAAGGCCGTGCTGTTCCGAGGCTACATGGGAATGTCTGCAGCTCTGGCTCTCCTCACCGTCACCGTCTACCTGCAAGTGAGCTCCCAAACCAGCCAAAATCTGATGCACGCTCGATGCTAACTGACAGGAAACCTGAACAAGAACCTTCTTTTTCCTCCTCAGAGGAATGTTTCGTGGATGCCGTACTGCAGCATGGTTCTGATTTTCATCTTTATTTTCTTCTTTTCCAGTGGACCAGGTACATTTGCAGTGCTGTGACCAAGAGAATTGGTCATTCTTATAATTTCTGTGCTGTTTTTAGCTTGAACATCTCAGATAAGCAAACAAAAGTCTATATCAGACAAAAGATGCAGTTATTTATGATGGTTTATGACTTTATCAAACAGTTTGGATAGCTCTGTCCCACTAAAAGAAATTCAAATCATCCTTTTGCAAAATGCATTTACTAATTTTTAACAAACGGTTCCAAAACTTCTTTTACACATTTACCTCTTCACTCGTCAGTAATGAATGATAGTCTGATGTGCTTGTTATTTTGCTGAGGTTGCCCTCCCAGGGATTTTTGACCCTAATGGCCATCCGTTGGCAAAGTCTTACTCCAACACAAAAGTTCTGCTTGCTTGCTTGCAATGATTTAGGTATCTACTGCCTAATGTCACCACAGAAAATACACACCGTCACTTCAAGTGTTACAAAATCGCACAAACAGAAAAAAAAAATGTCTGGGAGGGAGCAAATATTTTTTTCACAGAACCGTATCTGTATGTAACATCCTATTTGTAGAAAAAAAATATTTTCAATTAGCATAAAGTACAACCTGGCCTGCATGGCGGCACAGACTGTTGGTTCACAACAAAAAGGTTTCTGCATGCATGCTCTCCTTGTGCATTGTTTCTTCTTCCCTTTATTACAGTTTCCTCCCACAGAACAAATACATGCATGTTTTGGTTAAATCGTTAGTCAGTCACATCTGAAAACGACTAACAAACCGTTATGTGTCTTCTTCCTTAAGCGGCAACGACCGTTTCTCTCCCAGGAGAAATCTTCACTCAGTCGTTTAAGTTAGCTGGATACACACTCGGCTGCACCATCAACTGGATCGCCCTGTTTGTGTTGGGGATGCTTTTCCCCATCTTAGTGGTAAGTAGCACCAATTTAAGCATAAGGATGTCAGGCGTGTTCAGTTACATGTTCAAAACAAGAACACATCTGCCCCTCAACCAGGAGAAGATGGATAACTTTTGCTTCCTGATATTTCTGGCCACCTGCTTCCTCTGTGGGATGCATGTGAGGTTCAACATGCCGGAGACCAAACATCGGACAGCGCTGGAGATAGCTGCAGAGTTTGACAGGATCCACCACAAACACGGGAAACCACAGAGACGAAAATCCACCGAAGAGGAAATGTGTGATGTTAAAACACATGAAACCAAATTTTGAACTAAAGATGCCCGTTTCTAAATTAGCTACTTCATAAACGTTTCTTTTTTTTTTTTTTTTTTACCTTGTCCTGTCTGGCTGTGAAGCAAGCAGAATTGATGTCTGAATGCTGGTGACAAGCCTTACAGATTTATTCTCAGGTGGAGCATCAAAGCGTTTGCTTTTAATGTCACGCCTGATACTTAAAACTTTATTGTTATTGTTGTTGAATGCTTTGTAATTCCGACCAGACACGGAGACAGAGGTGAAAGAGAAAGGAAGAGAAAAGGTGGAGAGAAAGGAGGGTGGGGTCCACAAAAATAAACAATGAACAAGAGTCTGCTTCTAAACCTGCAGAAAAAGACGAAAAAAAACAAAAGGACACAAAAAAGGGACACAACAACAATACAACAAGATCTATCTATCACTGCGTCAACTTGATGAAAAAAAAAACAAAAAAACTATATATATATATATATATATATATATATATATATATATATATATAAAATCAACATTGCTTAACTGAAGAATCACGATAATAAATCACAATGCATTAAGTGCCCCCCATAGTCTTAAGACATGTGTTGAACGTGCCCAAGCCCATACTTTTGAGAGCACCATGTGAGCACCTGTGTGTGTACACGCGCTTGTTTATTTAAGGTTTCTCTATAGGAGCGTCCAACAGAGAGTGTGAGGGACCACAGATCCGCCCCCCAAAGATGCGCAGGAGACGGGGGGAGCTCCAAGTCCCAGAGATCCAGGCGTTGCCCCAGAATGCAGGAACCCCAAGGAGACTGCAACCAGAAAGGCCCCCGCCCCCCTCGAGAGGCACAGAGGATCGCCCCAGGGGGCCACAACCAGCAGCCGGCAGAGTCCCTGGAGATATCAGCGGCAAGCCCACAGGCCCGCCCGCAGCCTCCCACCCCCTAGCCGGCCGAGCCCGGGACCCAGCGACCCAGGACCCAGGGGTGACCACCCCCGCCGGGGACCCAGCAGAGCCCAGGGACCCAGACCCCACCAGGCAGCCACCGGGATCTATCAGGCAGATGCCAAAATCTTAAACCCCCAGACCCAGTTGCCACGAACACTCAGGCAGACCATGGGACAAGCCCCCACACCAGGTGTGGCAGGGGGAGGGGGGACAAAGATCTATATCATCAAGAGAAGTTCCAGGAGAGGGGAGGACCCAAAGGCCCCACCTGACATATACAGCCATACACAAACACAGTCATACACTCCCTCCCTCATGCTCACACATGCACATACAACCCAAGACTTACAAAAATGCACGCCGGACACCCACTCATGCTCCCCATACACACCCTATTAACTCTGGTCCCGGTACTGCTGCACATGGGGTACAACCATCACCGGTAACCAGAGTTTGACCCTTTCTGCTGGGGTGCTGATGAGCAGGCTCCCCCGCCCAACGCTGAGCACAGCAACCCACCACCCCAGACCCCAACCAGACAGCCAGATCTCCCTCCTAGCCTCCAGCCCCAGGAAGCCTAGCAACAACAGAGGTGGCTAAGACCCCTAGTCTCCCTCCACCTGCTCCAATATAGTGTTGTGTGATCATGAGGTGTATTCCATGGCTGTGGTGAGTGGGCAGTGCGGGCATCATCCGGCATATGCCAGCTGATGCCACCGCACCACCCCACTTACACCCTCAGCCATCAGTGTCTAAGTGCGGTTTAAAATTGGAAGTGGGCACCGGCACTCGGGAGGAGGCTGAAATATCCCCCTGCCAAATGCCGTTGAATGTGCTCACTCCCAAGGCCCTAAGTGTGTGTTTGTGTGGAATGTCGTCAGTGGAAGTGTATAAGGTGCAAATAAAATTGGGGGGCAGGTTGCCACAGGAATGCGGAAATGGGGTCCATACCCGCACTCCCTGACTTGCCCACCCCCCAAGGTCCTATGTGTATGTTTGTGTGATGATGTGAGGGAGCAGGAGGAGAGAAATATGCGGGGATGGGGAGGAATGGCTGGTTGGGCTTAGCCCTCCAGGGAGCCAGCTCCCCTACTGGCCCCAATAGGCACCTCTGTTGTCAAACTGCCACCCAGGGCATGGAGACCCCCAGCCCATCCTGCCAGGGCCCAAAGCAGCAGCATTACAGAGCCTCACGGAGTCCGAGGGCACCAACCCAGCCCCATCCCAGCAGAATATCTATGCCCACCCCTGCATTTGCACAACTTCCAGAATATATAAGACATGGGACATCCAGGTAAGGTTTGGTCCTCCCCGTCCTGGACCTCCCCCTCCCCTGTGATGGAACAGCAGAGGAGCCAAGGTCTACCTGATGCCCCCGAACCCGGGCCAGGCACTGCTGAGTGTTCCTGCCTTCTTCCCGGCAGCATACATGTCAGGACCCGACCCCCAAGGCCCCGCCCAGATCCCCACAAGGGGGCCGGCCACCCCCAAACCCCGAGCCCCCAGGCCCCCACCCAGACCCGCCCAGGGGTATTGCAGCCGCCAGGCAGTGACCCATGGCCGCCGCCAAGATCCCCAAGGGGCCCCACTCACAACCGCCAGCAGTCCACCCCCCAAGGCAACCCAAGCACCTCCAGAGGGGGGCAACAGCCCCCCAGTCCCAGACACCCCCAGTGAACCCACCTCCAGGGAACATCCGGATACTCCAAACTCAGACCCCACACCCCCCCACCCACACCATCCCGCAGGACAACATCAATGGCCCCCCACCCTCGCTATGTGATGGAACCGATCAAAGGAGCCCAGAGAGATTCATCTGAAGTGGAAGCAGAGGCTATATCAAGTGCAATATGATCTAACAAAAGATTTCTATACTGGTTAATGCAGAGACTTTCTCTATTTTTCCAATTCAAGAGGATAGTTTTCTTAGCGATGCATATGGCAGTCAGAACCACGTGAACCAAAGATGTTGCAATCGGGACATCGTGCAGCTGTCCCAGTAAACAAAGAGAGGGGGAAGTTGGGATATGACATTTCAGACATTTTGACAGATCCTCACATACTCTACCCCAAAATTCCTGGACAGGTGGGCAGGACCACAGTGCATGAATGTAATTGTCAGAAATGTTGTTTGTGCAGTGTGTACAGGTGTCAGACGACACAAACCCCATCTTGAACATTCGATGACCTGTACAGTGTACTCTGTGTAGAATTTTGTACTGAATTAATTGTAAATTGGGGTGTCTGATCATTGTAAAAGTTTTTAAACAAGTTTGGGACCAGAAGTCCTGGTCAAAGCTAACTGATAGATCCACCTCCCATTTTTCAATAGGGATTGCAATTTTATCGTCTATTTTGGACAGTGTCTTATATACTTTAGACAGTAGTTTGGGGGGTTTGAGATTATAAAAGTCTAATACCCTTGGTGGTGTTTGTAATTCTATTTTATTGAGCTTAAATTTTTGTTTGACTACAGATTTAATTTGGTGATATTCTAAAAAGCTATTCTTATCCATTCCAAATTGGGAAACTATTTGATTAAATGGGATGAAGTCCAATCCTTCATATATGTGTTCCAGGTATAGGATTCCTTTATTTTTCCAGTCCGGAAGGTTCATCATTTTGTTGTTTTGCAAAATGTCAGGATTGTTCCAGATAGGTGTGCGTCTGCATGGTACTAGTGAAGACTCTGTCATTTTAAGATACTCCCACCATGCTGTTAGAGAGGTGCTGATACTAATACTTTTGAAGCTTTCATGTTTTCTTATGCTTGGGCTAATAAATGGTAAGTCTGAAAGCTCTATCGTATTGCAAATTGTCTGTTCTATATCTAACCAGGACTCGTCTAATGGGTTATCTTGCAACCATCTTGGTATATATTGCAGCCTGTTGGCTAAGAAATAATAATAAAAGTTGGGTAAATCCAGTCCTCCTCTGTCTTTGGTCTTCTGAAGCGTTTTTAAGCTAATTCGTGGAGGTTTATCCTGCCAAAGGAATTTAGTAATTGAGGAGTCCAGAGATTTAAACCAGTCAGCTGGAGGTTTGTTTGGGATCATCGAGAATAAGTAATTTATTCTGGGTAAGACCATCATTTTAATTGTAGCAACTCTCCCCATGAGTGATATTGGTAAGGATTTCCATCTTGCAAGATCATATTCCACTTTCCTTAAAAGTGGGATGTAATTCAGTTTGGTTAGATCTGCTAACTTGGGAGAGATATTAATTCTCAGGTATGTGATATTCCCTGACTCCAATTGTGTATTAAGCAAATTGACAAATGAGAAATTAATTGGTAGAACTGTGGATTTTAACCAGTTTATAGAGTAATCTGAAACTCTGGAAAAAGAGTTTATCAGTTCTATTGCTTGGGAGAGAGAGGATTGAGAATTCTGGAGAAAGAGTAAAACATCATCTGCATAAAGACTGATCTTATGTTCTATTTTCTTACACTTTATCCCTTTAATATCTGTTGTTTGCCTAATTGCTGCTGCTAGTGGTTCAATAAAGATAGCAAATAGTGAGGGGGAGAGTGGGCATCCCTGCCTGGTCCCCCTCTGAAGACAGAAGCTAGCTGACATTTGGTCGTTCGTCCTGACACGTGCTGTTGGTGAACTGTATAATGTTTGTAGCCAGTTTATGAAGAAGTTCCCAAAACCAAATTTATGTAAAGTTGCAAATAAGAACTTCCAGTTAACTCTATCAAAAGCTTTTTCTGCATCTAGAGATAATATACTAGTTTCTATGTTTCTACTGTAAGAGAAATCTATCAAATTAAGTAATCTACGTGAATTTGTGGGTGATTGTCTACCCTTAATGAAACCAGTTTGGTCAGGGTGTATTATGAAGGGGGTTACCTTCTCTAATCTTTTGGCCAGGGCTTTACAAATTATTTTGAGATCAACATTAATAAGAGAAATTAGGCGATAGCTGGTAGGAAATGCCGGGTCTTTGCCTGGTTTTAACAAGAGACTAATATTGGCTGAATTCATGTTTGGCTGTAATCTGCTGCTCTCTTCGATTTCCCTCACCATTCTGAAAAATATTGGAGCCAGAATGATCCAGAATTCTTTGTAGAATTCTACTGGGAACCCGTCTGGACCTGGAGCTTTCCTATTCGTCATGGATTTAAGGGCTTCCTGGAGCTCCGCTGATGTTAGTGGCGAGTCCAGGACTGTAACTTGGCTGTCTGATAATTTAGGAAGTGTTATCCTGTCAAGGAACTCATTGATCTCATTATCTGATGGGTTTATCTGTGGTGAGTACAACGTTTGGTAAAAGTCTCTGAAGGTGTTGTTTATTCTTTCAGGGTCATATACTATATTCCCGGT